TGAATTGTATTGACGATCTGAGACTGTTAAGATGGTGAAAGAATTCCTGCAATCTCGCTGGACCATGCGGCCAAACCACAAAAGTATCATCCACATATCTCAACCAAGTGGCTGGTTTGTGATCAGTTGTGTCTAAAGCCAGAGTTTCAAAATACTCCATATAAATATTACTAACGACAGGCGACAACGAATTCCCCATCGCCATTCCCTCCTTTTGTTGATAGAATCTTTCTTCAAATTGAAAGTAGGTAGTGGTCAAACATATCTCTAACAGTTCCACCAATTCATCAACCTGTAATGATGTCCGGTCCGATAAGGTAGAATCCATACGAAGTTTTTCCTTGATGATACAAAGGGCCTCTTCCACTGGTACGTTGGTAAATAGGCTGACTACATCGAAACTAACCAGTATATCTCCACTTTGAAGATGGACATCCTTCAATAGTTGTATGAAATGTTCCGAATTTTTAACGAATGATTCCGTGCTATTACTCAGATGAACCAAAATCTTGTGCAGGAATCCCGCAAGGACGTATCAAGGTGAACTAATAGAACTCACGATCGGTCTGAGGGGGATATCTGGCTTGTGTATTTTAGGAAGGCCATACAGATAAGGAGGTTTACTGTGGTATGGTGTCAGTCTACGTTTCAGATCGGTAGCAAGGACAGATTTATGCTTAGAGAGGATCTTCTGTATCTTCCTCTCCACTTGTGATGTAGGGTCCTTCTTTAGAGGTTCATAGACACCAGACTGTAACAGACTCAAAATCTTTTGTTTATAAGTAGAATTATCCATCACGGGTATTTGATTTCTCCGGTACCACCCATATCTGGGAAGCATTCCCCTATCCGCAACCTGGGGAGGCGCCCGATGGGGGACTAGCAACCTAATAAGGGTAAAAAAAAATACTGAATTAAAAATTAATTATAAGGATAAGTTAATGCTTTATTGCAAAGACAAAAAAGCATGTAGTATATACAGCAAACTGTATTGGGGGATTAAGTACTATGAAATATGGAGTGAAGTACTGTACAAAATTCTCACTGAATCTACACCCATGAAACTAGTTAGGCGAATCAGAATGTGTTTAAGCACAATCTGTAATAAGTCCACACAGGAAAACATTTGTCTGCAACATTTCCTATTGAGAATGTTTTGGAACAAGGAGATGCTATTTCAGTTCTTCTTAGAATAGGAAGATAGAAGGAAATCCATATAACCTGGGATTCACTAGGGCACATCAGCTTCTTGGCTTTAAACATAAATGTCATGAACCAATTTTTATAGTGCTCTTTGTATAATTTTCCCCTGCCTCTTATCTCTTTATTCCTGTTAGATCCATATACTTTCCTCAGCACCCTGTGGGTTCAGAACACACAGAAAAAAATTAGGTCAAAGTTTAATACCAAAGACCACAGATGGAAAAATATTTAAACTATTAGGCAGGAGAGAAAATCTGTCTATGTAAGACTTGAGGTTCTCACAGCGGTGAATATGAAGACAGAAATCTTCAAAATCTGTCTAATCAGGAATAAGTAAGTTTTTTGACAAACCGATATTGAGGTCCTCATTGATTTTTCTCCCAATAATAGGAACAGTAGGGAAAAGTCTGAGTGTTTCTTTGATGACCTGCTCTAAGTAGTTCATGTTCTGTAGGTCATGTAAAGTTGGAGAGTGACCAGAGTCACCAAATATCTCCTTTAGTTCTGCCATTACTCTCTCCTGGAACACAAGAATCCATACTATAAGATCCGTTTCACATGAAGGTAGCTGAATTATTTTATTGTGGTGGAAGACCTTGATTTGTGAACACAAGAGTGACCATTTGTACATATGAATAAAGTCAGTATCTACCATAATATTTCTACATTTCAATCATATGAATGCTGTCAATTCATATGTACAAAGCCAGAGTCTTGCCTTCTCATCCTCTCCAAATGAAACCCATTTATCCTCAAGGAACTCCACTCCCGAATGAGAAAGGCTGTGGCAGAATTGTTGGTGGAAGAACCTCTTCGAAAGTTACTATGTTGAAGGCAGGGATGAAGATGGAATACTAATATGAAAATGCTTGTAAATGAAATAGGATTTAGTGGCATAAATTAGGTTGTATTCATGTAAAATACAGTTAATTAGTTGGATATAATGTTAGTGGTATTGAAATGTTAAATATCTCTTCTGTGTTCTACAGTGATAGTCAAGTCAAGGGTGAGACATTATAGTAAAACTACACTACCCAGGATAACTGGAAGCTTTATAGTGAAGTAAGGCCAGGCACAGGGTATTGGAAATAACCAAAAACTTTATTAGGGACAGTGCAGCATTTGGACCTCAAGATTTCATGGTGGTCATGGGGATCAAATGACATAGCAAGAGATGAACCCAAAAAGTGTTTAAACACACCCAAAATAGATTAGGAAACTTGACTCACACAAATGTTATTATATTGAACTTTCCAAAAAGGTATAATCTGATGAATGGTTCAGTAGTTAATGCAAAATTACAGAGAGCAAATGAAGCTATAGGTAAGGTCTACAGGATATTTAGAAATGTGAGCCTAGTGAACATAAGTAGAATACACAGGCATTACCACACAAGGCATGTCATGTACTGAAGCATCGTGAGAAAGTAGTATGTAAGTTCAGAAATCACTAAAATAATTAATAGTAAATATCCTCTGGTAGAATGTACCATACCAATACCTTGTAAGGGGAGCTAAAGGGGTAGCATGTGGTCTTGAGGGTACATATCCTGCTGACAGATGTGTACCATTAAAAACTCGGGAAATGCCATTATTCCTACCAAGTCCGATGCATGCATGTCCAAGTCGATTCCCGAGGCAACGTTTTTACGGCTAAGTCTTGCTATAGCAAACAAGCAAGTTCCTGATGCTTTCAAATTAGGTCCGGCCATCTAAGGGAGACAACCCCAACAGAAAAACATCACTCCCTCAGGACTGTTGAGGGTTGGGCGTAAGGCTGACAACCTCACTCCATAAAGAAAGATTTGTTTCGAAACTTCAAGCTAAGCCTCGGAACGGAGGCAAAAGATTGAAGAGGCCAGGGTTCAACTTTGAACTGTAGTGCCAAGAAGAAAATTACCTTGTAAGGATCTGGGAAATAGATTGAGGTGACTGGACCTAGTTTGTTCCAGTCTTAGCTACCAAAAGAAATAAATACAGTAGGGCCCCGCTTTACGGCGCTCCGCTTTACGGCGATTCGCTAATACGGCGCTCAACAGCTGAGTCAGAGAAGTGTGTCCGGCGCCATTTTCTCGTCGCTGATTCAATCTGTTTACAGCTTTTGTACGCTCCGCGTCTCCGTATTTCTGGCAATTTTTCAAAGTTATTACAAACTGTATATTTATGTAATATTTTTGTGTTTCTACAGTGTAATTACAATGGCGTCAAAGGGTAGTAGCGATAAAAAGAGGAGTCGTAAGCCTCTTACTTTAAATACCAAGTTAGATATAATTAAACTTCGTGAACAAGGCATGTCTATGGCCGAGATAGGACGTAAGCTAAGCTTAGCTCGCAAAACTGTTAGTGCCATCGTGAACGCTAAGGAGAAAGTGTTAAAGGAATTAAAAGTGCCACACGAATGAACTCTAAAGTCATAAGAAAAAGAGATAGCCTTATTGCCGACATGGAAAAACTTTTAGTTGTGTGGATTGAAGATCAAACCAGCCACAATGTGTGTACTACTGATATTCATTTTATTTCATATCGTTTTCTTAGGCCTAGCGCTATTGTGCACTTACTATATGATAGTGTAACATCTTATTAGGCTTTGATATGCATTTGCAAGTGAAATAAGGCAAAGATCCGCTTTTCGGCGATTTTCGCTTTATGACGGGGGTCTGGTCCCTAACCCGCCGTATAAGCGGTGCCCTACTGTACATGAACACATTTTCGACATAGCTTAAGAATCAGCAAAATATACAATATTAAGGAACAAATTTGACCAAACTACTTTATTCATTCGGTACTACGCCTGACATCCTTACTCTGTCTCAGCATAAACTGAATGAGAATGAGATAATAAGGTGTAAAATAGCTGGATATTCTATTTTCTCCAATTTCTGTAGAAATATATATAAAGGTGGTGGGACTGCACTACATGTCTAATAAATCTCACACGAAATGTGTTTAGATTAGACAGCAAGAAAAAGTATAGAAAAGTTTAATGAAGCAACAGGTATTAAACTTTAGAATTAAACTAACAAAATTAGAGTGATATTTATTTACAGAATGCCAAGTGGAGAATTAGATGCATTTTTTCTTGATAACATGACATTTTGGATCAAGTAACAAATAAGGGTAAAGTATAAAGGATCGGACTCAAAACAGCTAATAGGCATTGCAAATAACTTTAATTTAACCTTAACCATAACCAAGCCTCCTGACTCACAGCTAAAACTGCAACTGTAATTGATTAAATAATGACTGATATACCAGCCCAGTTATATCATGTAAAGGTAATACAAAGCCTACTGTCTGATTATTATGCTCAGTACATTGACTGTAAGATGAATGTAATAGTCCCCATAAATATTATAGTAAATAATATAGAGAAGTAGGGGAGCTCTCAGAAACCAACATAAATTGCCTATTGTCTATAACACTTTTAATTAGTATTTTGATAAGGCTTGCCCAGTAAGAAAGAGAAAGTTTTCTAATGTTAAAAATAATGTTCTTAAATATTAAAGTGCCCAACAACTTATTTTTCCAGTGCTTCCTCCATATATTGGGTTAGATCTTATTTCAGAATTACTTAAAATTTGTGCATATGTTTTTCATTCACTCTTTCATGCAGTAAATGGAAATGTGGCAACTTCACAGAATATTGTCTTACTTGAACATGTTGGTGTTTTGCCAGAGCCCAGCAAATGAAACTCATTGCTGATGCTGTTGTGTCATGTCCCTGAAACAAATGCGATTTATGTAGGATTTGAGGTTTTCATGGCAGTGAGTCTGTAGATTGCTGTCTTCCTGTTTGTTGCGCCATGTAGTCTGGTAGATGTCTACCAACGTTTCAGAGATCATACTGCCACCATCATTATCGCTCTGAAGATGGAGGATATTGGTGGATATCTACCAGACTGCACAGTGCACCAACCCAGAAGACGGAAATCTTCAAATGAGATTTAGTTTCATTTAAGCACAATTTCTTTCTTTCATAAAAGAATATTTTGTAAAGGCATCATGTTACATATCTATTTATAAGCTTCTTAAATAATGAAATAAACTTGCAAAAAATTATAAATCACCAAAAGTTGCTTTAGATTGTTATTATATTTTGTGGATAAAATTATGCCTTTCAGTGAATGTGTCTTTAAACAGTTAGAAAAATTACAGTCCTCACCGCAAACATGATAGTATCGACTTCCTGTCTTATTTCATCATCTGACATTTTAGCACCATCCTGTGACTGGATTAGCAGCTCCAGGAGTGGAACACGCTTCTTCTCTCCTTAAAATTTGTGAAGAGAATAATTTAATGTTAATATACAAGGTGCACAGACAGTCATGTTAAGAACATTGATATTGTGGAAGAAATTTGGGCTGATATCAGAAAAGTTTTCTTGAAGATTAGTGGGAAGATCAGCCATTTGTACAGATTGTATTAGTTCAAAAATATGTTCGTACAAAACACGAAGATCTCAAGTCTCTGTACCTGCCACATTTTCCTTATCCATCTTCTCATTTCTATTTTTCCTTGAGTTATGAGACCTTATACTTCATATTATTTAGTTATTTTCCCTTTTTCCTTTCTCTTAACCTTCAAGTGAGTAAAAATTTACATAAGGAGGCTGAGAAGACATTGTAAAACACTCAACCCGCAGAAACAAAGCTGTCCTATTAGGTGCTCTTTGCTATGGTTTATCCAATGTTAATAATTGCCTGTTATCTTATGAGCCTTTTCATTCAATTTAGATATCCATGGAAAGCACCTGAGAAAGTTGTTATTGATTTTCAGGTTATTTTAAACGAATAATATTTCTAGAATAAGTTCTGCAAGGAAGAGAGACATTTCCATTTCTTTGCATAAGAACAAACTCAAGTTGACTATAAGATTACAGAGGCATATATCAAAATGCTGTTGCTTATTGGCCATTCATATAGCTTGTCTGTAGGTCCCATATAGGGTTATTGTATCTGGGTGGCCAGCATCATCCCTTTAAAAGCTAAGTTTCTGTTTCAATAAGAACTTTACAGTCCTGTTGATGGATGGACCACAGGTGGGTCGTGCAACTTTGAAGGCAGCATTTATAAAAACGTCACTCTTCTCACTGATCATTGTAATAAAGAATAAATGTGTTTCTAAGGGCTTGCAGTGTTCTGTGGGGGTGGAGATCTGGGAAGAAGAGAGAGGTAATATGAGAAATTGGCTGTACTTCTTCTCACCTGTGTCATTGCTAACTTCATCAGCTACTGCTGATTCCTGAAGATTCTTCTGTCTTTGTGTCTTTATCACTTTATTGGTCATGCCATGTAGGGTAACTAGATCCCTGTCATGCTGTCTCCCAGTAGAGCTTAAGCGAAACAGAATGTCCGGGTAAAGCAGTAGGTTGAAAACACGAGCCACCAAAATATCACACATGCTGCGTGAAGACAACAAACAAATGATAAGCAACTGGCAGCTGTATGCTTATTGCTCTACTCTAAATCTTTCTTTCATCATTCTTGTTTTATGTTTTCTTCACATAAAAGGAATGTATAATAGAGGGTTTGTGGCTGTATGATTGTAAGTCCATTTGTTTGCACATCTCTGAGATTGTTTATGGATTTCATTAAAATATGGTGGTCAAGGCTCACATTAAAAAGATTTGTTTATGTATGAATCACTTGTAATATCATCTATACATGAAATTTAACTTTTATCAGTTCTCCTAAATATATGACAGTAGCAAAGGAAATGGTGACATGAAATATACACCTACACTTTGAGGTTATAAAGTTATCAGTACTTAGTAACTTAAAAAGAACACTGTGTAGCTTTTTTGAATTATATCAATGTAAAAGCTTTTGCGAACACATATCTTTCCCCCAGAATTGTGTAGCTGCCATGCATTTTGTTGCATTTGTGTAGTACCATGCTACCACCAGCATAGCTCTTGGGATCACTGATTGGTCGAGGGGGAGAGGTCAGACTAAGACAGGTACCCTGGTCCTCCAGGTTGGGGGTTGGTCACAAGGCTAACAACCTTGCATTGTAAAAAGGAAGATGTTTCGAAACCTCGATCAAAGCCTCGGACAGACGGACCTAACAGAGGACCGAATGGAAGAGGACAATTGAGGAGGCTGTGGACCGAATATGGACCGGAGAGCCATAGAAGAAGAAGAAGAAGTTCCCAGAATCATTGGTAAATATCACCCTGGCCACCACACCAAGGTCATATAAAACTAAATATCCTGCTTTATTTACCTTTTAATTGCCTGCACGTACTTGGATCTGCTGTTCCTCTGTGCTTCAATACTAACTCCCATTGAGGTCTCTGAAAACAGTTAAAGATGGTACAATATTAGTCGAATGCTTGCACTGGGTAAATAGTACCCTACGTATGAAAATATTAATGCCCATGACTATAACTATGTATATGACTTGTGTACATACATCTAATCAGTATAGGCATTGAATTAATGCTTTAGAATGCCTTAGAAGCTCCCATACAATGCTCTTGCTCTAAATCACCAACTTCAGGACAAGTAAAACAATAATTTTAAAATGTAACTGTGAAATGTGTTGAAAGTATTTAATTTTTAAATTTATAAGATCTAAAGAATTTAAATGTCTCTGCAAAGCATGATAATGTCCCATGCCTTATTCTTTAAGTGTTGTTCAGATCCAATTGTCCGTCTTGGTATTTTATTATTTAGGAACTAGGCCTGATGTCAACTAAATTCATATTCTCTTTCTTGCAGCTGCTAGGAGACCATATATGGTTTAATACAGTGGTTCTCAAGCTTTTCAGATACAACCACACATTCACTTTGCTTAAATGTTTAAAGTTGAGTAGTAAATATACGAGAATCTTCAAACACATTTAACAGTCATTAATTAACCCTGTAACAAACACCTGTGAAACACATTCTTTATTTTCTAAATCCAGTTTAAACCATTTGATTAAATGAATTAATTTCCTTGATGCCACTGATGATGACCTCTTGAGGTTGAAACGCGTATGGCAATAGTGTCTTCTTTATAGTGCTAATAGATGTTTGTTTGATTATTTTATAATTATCCCTGTGTTTATGGGTTTTATATGATTCTTAGAAAAAACATTATTTCCTTAAACAGCATCAGATGATCTTTGTAATGGTGAGGTGTTATGTTTACTTGCATTACAGACTAAATAATTAACTATTATTTAGATGAGCTTTGGCTTCAAAGGATTAATGATCCACTGACTGCAATGTCGTAAACTAGTACAATTTTTTTAAACTTCATGGCAATTATTTACACATGTTGTTAACTTACTATTATAAATAGGTTAACATATCAGAGAACAATTTTTATAACAGAAGCACTTGTTAGTGAGATTTTGGACATTGCTTCTGCTTGAGTGATGTTTAATACTGGTTTAATTTCTGTTGCTGGAAATTGCATATTAAGTGGTCATCAGTAAGACGCTTCCTACGTCCTGATCTTACGTTATTCATTCAACTGAACAGTGCTTGCTGCCAAATAGACATTCATGGCCGTCTTCTGGGCTGTAGTGTCATGTAATCTGGTAGAAGTTTACCAAAGTTTCAGAGGTCCTTACAGCCTCCACCATGAGGGAGATGAACATCGTTGGTAAACTTCTGACAGACTACACGGTGCTGCAACCCAGAAGACAGCCATCTTCACACGAATCTTGTTTCTTCTCTCACCACATATGGAATCCAAAGCGCACAGTGTTATATATGGGTAGATATCAAATTCAGAACCACCCACGTGGTGAGCCAGCTTTTCCACAAAAATGCTTGCATTTTTGTTGAACACTTCCACAAAGTTGTTCAGGATTTGGAAATGGAATGTGGGTGTGATTAGCCTCCGGCTTGCTTTCCATTTTTCACCTGTACACGAACAAAAACTGAAGAAATAAATCTGAAATGTAGTTTAGTCACCAAAATGATTTTAAAAAAGAATGTGAGGTCGATTTATTGAACATTTAATTTAAAACCTATTCATTACATTAATAATCTTGTTTTTAACTCCAAGTCTCAAGGACTCAGGAGCAGTACTCGTTAAAGGAAATCATGCTGCTTGTGTTTACATCAATACTCGATTACAGATAATGGTAATAAAGATGTCTATGTTAACACTAAAATTTTATGTTTCGTAAGGGAAATCTCATTTCTATTGATTTGATTTTTCAACAGAAAATACTAGGTATAATTAGGCCTTGTTATTATGGTTGTGTAATACTTGGCGAGGGAACTCACATTGTTTCTGTTGACCTGGATGCCTAATAC